ATTTACACTGATCACAAAAGTCTTAAATATCTGTTCACACAGAAGGAACTGAATATGAGGCAACGACGGTGGCTAGAATTTATAAAAGATTACGATGTATAAATCCATCACCATCCAGGCAAAGCTAACGTGGTGGCAGACTCACTGAGCCGAAAGACAACCAAAAGTTTGGCGTGTACTCTCGTTTCCCGCAAGATCAATCGACTGCTCACCAATATAACCGTGAAAACCGCATTGATTGAAGAAATTAAAGCGCACCAATGTGAAGATAAACTTTTGAAGAGAAAGTACGAGGAGTAAAGGAGTACGTCTGATCCTAATTTCACTATAAGCAATGGGATACTAAAATTTTGGAATCGAATTTGCGTACCCGACATTCCGGAACTCAAGAAGAAGATATTGGTGGAAGCTCATAACTCGAGATTTGCAGTCCACCCTAGTAACACAAAGATGTACTGTGATCTAAAGGAACACTACTAGTGGACAGGAATGAAAAGAGACATAGCAAGCCATGTCTTCAAATGTCTGCATTGTCAGCGTGTTAAAGCAGAGCATCAGAGACCTACAGGAATGCTGCAACCACTCCATATTTCTGAATGGAAATGGGAGCATATTACTATGGACTTCGTGGTCGGGCTACCACAATAATTTTTGAAGAATGATGTAATATGGGTCATAGTAAACCGATTAACAAAGTCGGCGCATTTTCTGCCAATCAAAATCATATACTTCCATAACAATTTTGCCACTTTATACATCAAGGAAATTATTCGTTTGCATGGTACCCCAGTTTCAATCATATCTGACCGAGACCCTCGCTTCTGTCTCATTTCTGGAACAAATTACAAGAAGCTTTAGGAACCACACTGAAGTTTAGCACTGATTATCACCCACAAACTGATGGGCAATCCGAAAGAACAATCCAGACTTTGGAAAACATGTTACGTATATGAGTGTTGGACCTCAAAGGTAACTGGGATGAACACCTACCTTTAGTGGAATTCGCCTATAACAATAGCTACCAAATAAGCATTGGAATGGCACCGTACGAAGCTCTATATGCAAAGAGATGTCAATCACCTTTGTGTTGGACGGAAGTCGAGACAGGAAACTGTTAGGCCCTGAGATCGTGCAAGTCACAAGTGAGAAAATCCAACTCATCCAACAGCGAATTCGCACTGCTCAGAGCTGCCAAAAAAAGCTATGCAGATACACGGAGACGGGACTTGGAATTTCAAAAATAAGATCATGTGTTCCTTAAGATCTCACCAATAAGATGAGTTATCCGATTTGGAAAGCGAGGAAAGTTAGACCCACGTTACATCGGGTCATTCGAGATACTGGAAAGGATTGGTCCTGTAGCTTATCGCCTTGCACTTCTACCTGAACTATCCAATGTCCACAATGTGTTTCACGTTTCAATGCTTCGACGGTATCTTTGATATCCAGAACATGCTGTTGATTATGAGAACCTAGAAGTTCAAGAGGATCTCCCTTATGAAGATTAACCAGTATAGATTCTCGATCGTCGTGATCAAGTTCTCCAAAACAAAACCATACCGTTGGTAAAAGTCTTATGGCGAAATCATCATATCGAAGAAGCTACGTGGGAAACGGAAAGTCAAATGCGAGCCAAATACCCACACCTCTTCGAAAATTAAGGTACATCAAGTTTAGGGACAAACTTCTATTTAGGAGAGGAGAAATGTGACACACTGAACGTTTAATAAAATACCACATAAATATTTATAGCTATATATAATTGTGGTTGTATGTGATAGTATATTATTAAAGCAATAAATAAATAATAATAAAATAAATATATGGAAAAAGAATAATAATAATAAGAAGAAGAAGAAGAAGAAGAAGAAAAACAATAATAATGGAAATAATAAAATAAATAAGCTATACGCGTTATGTAAATTAATTTGCCGTTGTGGTTATCAAATATATGATAAAGATATTTATTTTGGGGCTAAGTTAATCACTAATTAATGTGTGAAGATTGGCATATATAGATATAATTAAGCAAATTAATTACAAAGATTGCAAATATGCTGAGACAAATGAGTGGCAGCCATCTGGACCACCTAGGATTAGGAAGGGTAGGTGATTCATCACCTTAGGGCCATTAGATATGATGAGTCATCACCTAAGTTATGTGTATAAAAAGGGGAGGGGAGGTGTTGTGAAGTGAGTACAAACGGAAAAACAAATAAGGAAAAAAAAGAAGAAGAAATAATCAACAAAAAAAAAAAAAAAGAGCAAGGGAAGGGCCAAAAACCAACAGAAATAAGAAGGAATTAGTAAGATTCAATCTTAAGGTGAGTTATATTATACATTGAGTCACCATAATATATTTTACGTATGTTTTGGGTTATTATAAGTTATTTAACGTAATCTATGATTTATAAATTAATCATTTATGAACTTTATTTGCTTAAATTGAAACCTATGGATATATTTGTTTAACTTTTAGAAATTATTTGACAATAATTTTATAAACAATTATGTTTTGTAAGTACCACCGCGGGAGTCTCATGCCTTGGGAGAGTTAAATAACCATTGGCCATTGTTTGGCCACTTTGTGGTCCGCTGTTTGTCATGGATCTATTGACCTCTGTTCTGACTGTCACTCCTGTGATCTCTGTTCTGTTATGTTCTGTACCGTGGTTATGGTTATTTATTTTCATAATTTTCGTATTTCAGTTTCTGCTACTTTGAATAATTTGTTTATTCAAATTAAGTTATGTAAATGTTTTAGCTTAACTAACTATCCATGGTTATTTTGTGTTCCATATACTCTTGGCATAATATTTCTCACTCTATTATGTGCTTATAGCTGTTACCCTTTCAGGTGACGAGATGTAAGGAAGACTTGTAAGCTCATGTAGTGGAACTTGAACAAGAATTAATGCTAATCCATTATTTGTTTTTTTTCTTTTCTTCCTTTTATTTTTATTTTTTATTTTTTACTGAGAGCTGGTCACTGCATAATAAAAACATAAATAAATAAAAGCCCTATAAATATATTTTCTCTTATTAAAATGGTAGAATAAAGTAAATTTTCTGTTTAATTATTTTTTATTTGCCTCTGCCTGCGCCATTTAATTTGCTACAAATAAATTAATAAGTTACGATTTCAAGCCTAAATCCCTGGGATTGGGTCGTGACAACTATCATAGTTTTCATCTCATTAGAAAGTCTCTTTTAATTTGCTTTTACGTTTTTTTTAATACTTATTTTAGATCTTTCGTTGTTGAGTTTATTGTAATCATAGCTTTATGTTAGATTTTCTTGCATAGTTAATTTTTTAGTTTAATACAATCCTCATTGTATTTGCAAATCTAATATCCATTGATTAAAAACCTTTAACAATGGGTTCAATTATAGGGGAGTTAAATTAAGAGAGTACAAGTGTGGAGGTTTTCTCCTATAGATGCTGTATGAAGGGGTTCAAGAACATCGTTGGAAAATTCGAAGATCTTCGATGATCCTTGAAGAACAGCTTCGAATTATCTAGAAGATGATGAGAGACTTAGATTCTTCAATAGTCTCAACTTAAGAACATAAAAGTAAAGGAGATGATGGAGATAAGAGATTGGGTGAAGAAGAAGGCAAAGTAGCTAGAGAGAGAATAATGGCAAGGCTCTCCCATGGATCTCCTACTTTCACTCTCAAGGTTGATAATGGAGAAGGAAAATTAGTTCTTTCCTAAGAGTTAACTCTCCAAAATCCCTCCCTTTGTAAAGCTATGGATGAGTGCTATTTATAGGCACCTCATGATGTAGGGTGGAGCCCATGTGCAAGGCACATGGGGAATATTCTCTCTAACTACCTTGTCCGAAGAGGTGACCTCTCCGAGGATGAGGAAAACCCCGAAGAGGAGATCAACCCCTCGGCGAACCCTTCTTCTTAGCCACACCTAACTAATGATCCCCAATCATCCCAAAGGGTCAGGGGTAGTCCCAGAGGACGTCCTGCCGCATAAGGGTCAGGGGTAGTTCAAGAGAACACCCTGCCGCAAACATTGCTAAGTCTCAGGGACCCCTTAGATCGTGCCACCTTGACCCGGGTATAGGCTAGTTTAATCGAAGAGTGAATTTATCTCCACTCACCGTCCTCGGGATCGGGTCCTTTGTTCGGACTCCATTACGCCCATGGTTCTGGTCCGCAAATCCCGGAAAGCTCCGAGCCCGCAAGTGTTCTAGGACTCATTAACGGAGCGACTTCTAGATTGGGTCTGAATCCGTTTGAAACCAAGTGCTTCGGATCTCTAGGTTCGTAGATCCGAACCCTTTAGAGTCCGAGTGCCTCGGATCTCTAGGCTTGTTCAATACCCTTTCGAGTCCAAGCCCGAGTAAGTCTCTAAGTCTCTAAGTTCGTGGATCTGAACCCCTTCGAGGCTTAGAGCGATTCAATCCGTTTGATGGCGATAAATCCGGGCCCACCAATCTTGGACTTGGGATAAATTCGAACCCACCAATCTTGGACTATTGGGCCTAATTAATTTAATGGGCTCAAATTAGCTCCTCTTACAGATGCTAATCCAACAACTAATAACTAACATTTGTCGATAATTTTTTTTAAAAAAATGTGATGAGGAATATGTTAAAAATTAATTTAATATTAATAGTTGAATCTTCTTTGAACATTTTAACTTATCCATAGGAGGCCCAATTAAAACATCATGATAGCCCAGAATACCCAATGTATTTTACAGCCCAAGCTACCCTACCTTAAAAACGAAGTCGGGCCTAGCACCTCTCCAAAGTAATCTAAAGCCCAATAAAAACATCAAACTAGCCCAAAATACCCAATATTTTTTACGGCCCATACAAGTAAGCCTACCATCAAACGACGTCGTCCTAAACTAGGTCAAAAGGATTGCTCAATGTAACCTTTAAGACAAATTTACCCTCAGTTTTCCATCATAAAGACTCGACAGTCCTTTAGGGTACAACCATGTGAAGAACCAAACCCTGAAATCTGAGACCTATATAAACCAATACGCGAATTGCAAACTAGGGTTTTGAGGATTCATCGAGCTTAGCCCTGTTAGTGCCGTCGTCGAGCTCCATAGTTTTTCCTCACTAGACCTTCCATCGCTTGACAATGGCCGTCGGGTATTCTCTCTCTTCTCTCTCTCTCGACATATATGTACATATAGCTTGATTTTGTATATGTATGTGTTGATCTGTACATTTTTGTGTATATCACAGGAAGAACAAGAGGATTTCGAAGGGAAAGAAGGGTGGAAAGAAGAAAGCGTGAGTATCGTATACTTAAATCTCACACTTTATTTTGATATGAATTCAAAAATCTCGATTTCATTGTGGCTTGCTTTGATCGGATGTGTTGTTTTTTGGTTTTGTGTAGTGTTGATCCGTTCTCAAAGAAGGATTGGTATGATATCAAGGCTCCATCGCTCTTCACTGTCCGAAATATTGGGAAAACTCTGGTCAGCCGAACTCAGGGTACCAAGGTGATGTTTTTATTCATTTTTCGTATATGTGAGATCAATATGGTCAATGAATTTTGGTTATGAAAATGTTTCTAATTGGAATTTGCATTGTATTATATCTTGTGACTTGTTTAGATCTGTATCGGAGGTGCTTAGATTAGTATTGAAAGTGCCATGCAGTTGTAGCTTTAGTATGTGAAACTTGTGATTTGTTGACATGCCATTTTTATCCATCTTCATTTTTGGGGAGTATAAGAATAATTGGTAGCCAATTTTTTTATATGAAAAAAACTTGACATAAATTTGAAACATTGTACTAGTTTTATAAATTTCAAATTTAATTATCATATATACATATATATATATATATATATTTATGTACACTCAGTTTAGTTTATGTTGTGTTGTTCTGTATTGTTTCTTAAGTCACAAAATAAGAGCTGATGTCAATTGGGGAAATTACAAAAGACCACTTAATTGTAATTCCCCCATGTTAATTCAATGTTGGTTTTTGGTCCCAATTGGTGGGGGAAAAAAGTTTTTTTTACTATTATTTTAGTTAATGATTTGAAAAAAAAAAGGTAATATGCCAACATTTTTATCATTATTGAGCAGAACGTCACTTACTATAATCAGCAGTGTGTTGCCTTGTTATTTTATGTTGTATGCTTGATCAAATATTCCTTTTTTGTTCCATGTTTATGTTCCTTCCTTATTGGAGGTTTAGTTAAAATTTTGAACATAAATCTTCTTATTGCTTTGAAAATGAATAGCCTTTTAAGTCGCCTTACGACGCTTACTTTGGGAACAATTTGCCAAACACAAATTTCTATATCATTTTTTTTTTCTTTTTTTCCTGCACATGGCTTTAAACATTAGATTCCCATAGACATTCTATACCTTATAATTTGTGTCCTGTACTTCATCAGATTGCTTCAGAAGGACTCAAGCATCGTGTTTTTGAGGTCTCCTTGGCTGACCTTCAGGGTGATGAGGACCATGCATACAGAAAGATCAGACTGAGAGCTGAGGATGTTCAAGGGAAGAATGTTCTGACTAATTTTTGGGTATGATAAAAGAATTGTTTATTTCTTTTGTGCTTCTCCTTTCTTGTTTGTGTGAATCAGTGATTATTTAACAACACCTGTTTTTGGAAATCTCAGGGAATGGATTTTACCACAGACAAGCTAAGGTCTCTGGTGCGCAAGTGGCAAACATTGATTGAGGCTCATGTTGATGTGAAAACTACTGATAACTTCACCTTAAGGATGTTCTGCATTGGATTTACTAAGAAGCGTCCAAATCAGCAGAAGAGGACCTGTTATGCACAATCAAGCCAGATACGCCAGGTAAAATTACTGCAATTTTCTGTTTTTTAATTTTGAAGAATTTTATATTTTTATTTTTTGTTGCCAATGGCAATACCTTTGGAGTTGTGACTCGTGTTTGGGGTTTGGTTTTAATGCGGATGCACTGTTCTTAGTTTTTTCTTTGTTTCTTTCTTGGTTCCAAGAATATGATTTAGTATATCTTCCTTGTATCCCCTTTTGTCAGATTCGCCGGAAGATGAGGGAGATCATGGTAAACCAGGCGCAATCTTGTGATCTGAAGGATTTGGTCCAGAAGTTTATTCCTGAATCAATTGGTAGGGAGATTGAGAAGGCAACTTCAAGCATCTACCCTCTGCAGAATGTCTTCATTCGCAAAGTCAAGATCTTGAAAGCTCCCAAGTTTGATCTTGGCAAGTTGATGGAGGTAAACATCTCATGTACTTGTGCTACAACGCTAGTATATGCACAAAATTATACAAATAACATTTGGTGTTATATTTCTACCCTCTGGTGTTGAAGGAAGTTTAATTTCTTACTGCCCAAGTGAAGATGCTCATGATTTAAATTTCATTCTATCCTTATCACGTGCTATGCTGATGTAGGTCCATGGTGACTACTCCACGGAGGATGTTGGAGTGAAAATGGAAAGGCCTGCCGAGGAGCCTGTTGAGGCAGCAGCTGAGGTAATTGGAGCTTAAATGAAGGTTTATGGGTTGCTTTTATTTTTCGAATGTTGTTTATGGTTTTTCTCAATGAAAGAATTAGATACTGTATGTTGACTCGTATTGTGGTTTAATTTGTGAGACTAGAAGTGGATTTTTGGCATCTGGGAGAACACAGTTGCGCTTAATGAAGTAGGCAATTTCTGGTGTTTTATTTTTATTTTTATTTTATATAGTAGCCAAAAATATATGATATTGTTGAGTTTTCCAACATGTTTTGTATGTCTGTGAGGTTGAAAATTTGACCTAATTAGTTTCCAAACTGGATGGTCTCATGGTTCTCGATGATCAAGGATCATGATGATGTAGGATATAAGAGCTGCGGGTGAAGCGCTGGAATCCATTGATGTGTCATTTTGTTTATGGGTTTTCTTCTACTTTACTGGTTATTATGTGCCTCTCTAGTAGAAGATCAAGATTTGTCCTTTGTTGATTAGGGGGTTTGCTTTTAATGGTACATTGTTATGTTCCTCTTTTATGTGATTGTTTTGTTTGCTTCATGATCGTAAAGTCTTGATACACTCACTTTAGTCTGTGTTTAGATCCTACATTTTTAAAGGTAAAGGAAAAAAAAGTGAAGAGTGAATGAAATGCTTGTTAATTTTGTTTTCACTTTTTAATTACCATTTCTTTTTTCTCCATAAATTTAAGATTCAAATGCTGCACAATGAAAATTTGCTGCCTAGATGTGACTTTATTTTTTGGTAGTAAATTTGCTCCCTCTTCTCTCACCAAGAATGTGTTTGCCCCTTTACTTCATTCACTCATAGTCATCTGATTTAATTTTTAATGCTGAAAAAAATTAAATCGTGTGATTGTGAGTGATAAAATAGAGGGGCATGTACCTTTTTTGGATGGAGGATTGATTTGGATGATGAAAGCATTTGAGTTGTAACTCCTTTCAAATACACTATCTCCACGTGCTGATTTGGAATTGGCCATCTTAATTCAAATTTTGAACTAAGGTGTTCCATGATTCTAACTCCAGTGCAAGAACTCTGCTGGCAAACATGCTCTTATATATTTTGAAGAATAGGTTTATATATACAAACAAATCCTACAAATTGTGGTGGAAACAAAGGAAAATGCGGCAATAATTTAATATATGTTTTGTTCATGATTCTCTTTTTATTTTTATTTTATTATTATCTTCAATTTTAAGATTTAAACAGAGCACTTTACCTCCCAAGGCTTGAACCGTTGAATGTTGAATGTGCTATGTCTCGTGAAAAACTTATATACAATATTGGTATCATATCATTATTGATACGTGATATTATCATTTAATAATAAATCTTTATGGTGAGATTTTCTCATTTCATTTGGTATTTTGTTATTGGATGGTGATACCACGTGTCAGTATTAGCATGGTGTCAATGTTACATGCAAGTTGTCTCGTACAAATGACATAACAATGGCTTCCCAGCACAAGTATTTGAATGTATCAGAAGTTTTTCTTGCCTTTTTTCTTTTGGTTTCAATTTTTTCTTGTGCTTTGATATGAGGAATGGAATATAGTTTATGAAATCAAATGTAAGTCCTGTACACGAGCTGGTTGGTGCAACTTATCGGGGTTATTTATAACTTTTTTTTAAGAACTTTTTTATTATGAAATTTTGTTATATATTGTATGGTTCAGTTTATTTTTAAAGCTTTTAGGCTTGTTTTGAGAAGGTGGAAATAAATTGTCTTTTGGTTTATTCACAAAATTATTTGGGAAGTGTTAGCTTTTTGCTTGTTATGAAAAACTTGTAAAAAGTATAAAGTTGATGGGATCTAAATAAGTCAATAAATTAATAAGTTGGCTTATCACTTTCCAAAATGGGCCTAAATAAGTAATTTGTTTGCTCTTTTGAAAATTATTATTATAAGGTATTACATTATTTGTAAAATTACAAATTTATTATATTATTTTCATGCATTATTAGTGTATTTTTTCAGAAGCCATACAGATGAGAATATTTTGATAATTTCACTTGTTGGCTTATTTCTTACTGTCCAAATGAATTTTTGGTGAAATAAATTATTTTTTGACTTTTTGAAAATAAGTCAAAAGTTTTGCTTTATTCTTTGTTCCCAAGGCCTTAATTTGAGAAAAAAAGAAAAAAAAAAGTTTTTGACTTATTTTTAAAAAGTTAAAATATAATTTATTTCATCAAAAATTCATTTTAGAAATGAGAAATACGCCAACAAGTTAAATTATCAAAATATCTTTGGTTTTTGACAAAAGTGTATTAATAATGTACGAGGGTAATATGATGAATTTATTATTTTATAAGTGATGTGATATTATATAATAATAATTTCCAAAAAAGCTGCTCATTTAGCAATTTCTAAATAATTTTGTGAATAAATTAAAAAGTAAAAAAATAAATCAAAAAATTATTTATTTTCATCTTCCCAAAACCGGCAAAGGTAGCTTTATTTACCTCACCCAACACGAAATTCTTGTCAAAGTTGTTTTTTTAGCTTGATTTCCCAAAATCAACTTCAATGGTAAATTCATGGTTAAATTATAGTTGTGTTACATCTTGTGTCACATTTGGTACAAAGTTTGACAAAATCAAATATGCCATATCAGCATATTTGTTGCTGATTATAGTGAAATGATCTACAGATTTTTGTTTCGTCAAAGAAAAATGTTTTTTTTTATTTTTTTCTCCTACTTTTTGCGTTTTTTACTTTTGGTATAATAAAAACAAAAATTAATAAAAAATATTTTTTATGATCAACCAAAAAAATATTTATTTGACAAAAAATGTTTTCCTTCTACGAAGCTTTTCAGCCTAAAATCATATTGATATCATCACTTCTACCCGTCTACCATTACTACCTCCCAACCACTTCCATCACCATCGCTATCATTACCTCTACCTATATCCCGCTACTATCACCCTACAACTGCCACGTTCTACCACTGCCTCCCTCCTACCACTACGAATACAACTATCAGTATTAAAGATGCAATCAAACGTAAGCAAAGGTTTTTGGAAAAAAAAAGTTAATTTTTTTTTTCCATCAAAAATGATTTTGTATGGAAACATACCAAGCAAGACAATGGTAGTTATGCCAAAAATAAATAAATAAATAAAATTAGATTAGACAATAAAAAAATGAATAAAATGACACTGAAGATGTTCTAAACATGCAATCTAAGAATGCTACCAAACAAGCTTTAGCTTCAGCAATGGCGCAAGAGAGAAATGGATTCATAAGAGCCTCAGCAACAGGAACCAGAGATCATCACCATGATTTCACATAAAATAATACCTGTAGTTGTGCAAAGATAAAGACTCAACTGCGGATATACATGTTTAGACATTGCCAGCCTGCATACCATCTGTCACAATCTAGCAGGCAGAAAAGAGAAAAGACACCACCTCCTATGGAGCGCTTCATCCCCTCGGAAACTAGCTGCCTATGGAGTGTTCAGAGCACACAAAACCCTAATTGGTAACAGTGATTGCAGTATATCCATCTTTGTACATGGTGGACAAAGATAAAATTTATTTGTACGGCATCAAACTCTAATAATAATTTAAAGTAGTGCACCACAAATGTTGAAAAAAGAGGCTCATAAGGAGAAGATTATTTAAATTAGATTAGATCTAATTCATACAGATCCTCTGACCTAAAGACGGAACAGTTTCTACCAAGAAATTCAAGAAATGATCACTTCTAACATAGTAAAAGGAACGTTTCAAGGACTAATTACTGATTATTCAGAGCTAATTTAACTAAACAAGCTAATATTGTTACCGTCTCCATTGGTTGGAGGTCTGAAACACCCACAAAGACCGGCCTTTTTCCGTCGTGGGCTACTTCTTCTCCCACTGTGAATGAAGTCTCTCAGGATAATGGTTGTTTTGCTCCTGGAAAATCGGCTTCTCTCTTTGTTTTTCTTTTCATCCAATAGTTTCAGCAAGACGTAATGGATTTTTTGAACTTCCAATTGCAACCGTCCGATCTTTTCAGACCCTTTTCGTGCCTGTTCCGAGACTCTTTTTCTTTGGACATCCCCGGCCTCTTCCAACTCTGGTGAAGCATTTCCATCCATATGCAATGGACTCTCTTCGATATTTTGTGACAGTTGACCGTTAACCTCCACGAGCTGCACGATAGTTTCCTCAACTTCCTGCAACTGTTCCTTCACTGTCTCAAAATCAATGCTCTTCGCCTTTTTTCTCTTCTTGTTCATCTCCAATTTCCTTCTCAGGTCTTCTACTGTTATCATAAGGTTCTTCAGCTTCTGAGCATCTGAATTGAGTCTCTCCAAGATCTTTTTCTTGTTTCGATCCTGATGTGGCTCAGGAACACACGTGGGTACCTCTAATCTATCAACACCCAACTCCTTCTCAACTTGTAACTCCGAAGAGTGATTTTCATTCTTGTGCTCTGCATGCTCAAACTCTTGGCACGAAGTATCATCCTCTGTTGGTTTGTTTGCTTGCTTGTGTGACTCTTTGAGTGTTCGATCAAGACCACAGCCATCTTCAGCAGCTTCCCATAACTCAAGCATCTGATCATCAGCCCCACGATTCCTTCTCCTGCTTATTCCATACAACGAACCATCTGAAACGTGATCAAGTGGAATATCTTTCATCAGAATCCCATTCCTCACTTCAGAAATTTCCGGTTTTGTTTTCTGCAACTTGAGTCTGTCAACGAGCTCATCTCGAAGCTCCATCTCTGCCATTTGTTTGTCTTTTTTTAGACTGACACTGTAGTCGGATTTCAACTCTTCGAACTCTTTCAAAGCAGCGTCTAGCTTGATGTTGGTGTTTAAGCTTTTCTGCATCACCAGCCTTTTCTTCTCTTCTGTTACAACCTTTTCAACTGCTTTGATCCTAGTCTGTAAATTCTGCAATTCTGGAATTCTGTTCGGTATCGCAGGGTTATGATCTTGCATCGGTTCTTGACAGCTTTTCTCATGATAATGAACCAATTCCACATCCTGGAAATATGTGCAGGAAAGAGAAGGATTAAGTTTTAGTTAAAGATTTTCTGTATTAAATAGAGCATTCAACTAGCACAGATGGACAGAACTTGGTGTAACAATTTGCAAGATGTGCACGGCTTGCTCAAATTCTAATAAATTTTGAGTTAAAAAGAAAGTTCAAGAACAAGAAGAAATTCTCAAATCTCTCTACAATAAATATTAAATGTTAACAGGGTATTAAGAGGGAAAATAAAATGCAGTGATGTGATCTTAGTCTCCCATGTATTTAACAGTACAAAAGTCAACAATTAAATGGTATCAATCACCAAAATGTATTAGAAAAGGGAAAATGGTACAAGAACAGAATTTTTATACAAAAAAAAAACTAAACAGAATCATATGGCAGTGGTATTTTCAAAATCATGAGGCACAATGATGTGTGTTTTGATTTGAAATGAAGGACTATAAAAAGTCACTTTTGAAATCATGAGCAATAAGAGTTTTGAACAAAATTTTGTTTACAACATTACTTTGTGATGCCCAAAGAAAAAAAATCAAAAAATTTTAAAAAATTTGTGATCGTTGAGTGAAACCCTTTGCAGGATACCAACTATTCAAAGTAAATATTGCAAATGCTATGAACAAAAACGCTAGTCTATAATGATAAAAAAACAAAATAAAAGATCTAATTTCACATGGGTTCCAATTGCCATCTAATGCAACTTAGCTTTATTATCGACATGGTAAAGTAAGTCCAATTCCTAAAAGTAAAATTTGTACATGTTATGTTAGTTGCATTCAAAAAAAATCAAATGTGCGGATGCCATTAAGAGAATCTCTGCCAAGTTGATTCAGGATAAAAAAAATACTTTCTGTTGTCAATGTTATACTAAAGAACATACCTTTTGTTCTTGATTGTCAGCAATGTTAAGCTCTGGCGGAGAGAGGATATTGTGCTCAAGTGATGCTATGTTATCTCTCAGAGAATCTATGGCAGGAGCATATGCAAATAACCGAGCCTTAAGGCCTCCAATTTCAGTCTCCATGAAGCTAACTCTTTCTTTCATCTGTTCTATCTCAACTGTCTTAGAAGCATTTTCGTTTTCAAGAGTTTCACATACTCCAGTAAGCTCGTTAAACTTATTTTCAAACAAAACTTCACGGATGTTGGAGATTTGAAGATCAAAGTGGAATGTTGCAGCCTCAGCCTCCCACATTTCAAAATCGTTGCCTATCTCTTGCAGCTCCGAACTCAAGTTCTCTTCTCTAATTCTGTGTACTTCAACATCTTCCCGTAATATACCCAGTTCAGAATCTAAGTTTCCATTAACTTCACGAAGGCATTCGATTTCTTTGTTCTGGCTTGTATTTTCTTCAGATACTTCAAAAATGTGCTTTTCTAAATTTTCCCTCGTGAGTATTGATTCCTCATGTTGCTTCTTCAGTCCTTCCACAGTTCTGCACAATTCTGAATTCAGATCCTCTGTAGCTTTAAGCTTCTCCTCTGCTTCCAAAAGCTTGATTTCCTTCTGACACAAGAAATTCTTTCCCATTGAGATTTCGTGCCGCAATTGATTATTGAAATCTGTGACCTCATGCAGCTCCTCCTCCAACTTCCTCATTGAATCTTTGAGAAGTAAATTTTCCATTTCTTTCATTTCTAATTCCCCTCCCAATACACCAACCTCCTTTTCAAGGTCACTATTGACCCCATGAAGATTGTGCATATCTTCAGAGAGAAATTTTAGTTCCACAGATTTTTCAGTTCCAAAGTTCTTGAAAACCACCGAAAGGTTATCAAGAGCCAATGTTTCCAAGAGAATAAAATTGTTTTCCTCTTCTGCCATGCATTTCTCTTCCTTTAGCTCCGAGAGATTTTTCAACAAAGACCTGTTTTCTTCAAGCACTTGAGAATAGTCGCCCTGTAATTTAAGGTAAGCCCTCTGCAAATCTCCTTGCTGCACACATAGCCGCTCCATTTCAGCCTTAACCATGTTTGCATGTTGGTCTCCCATTTTCACTTCTGATTTCAACTGTCTGTTTATCTCTAGAAGCCCGTGCTTCTCATTTCGCACCATCACAAGCTGCTCAGTCATGGCTTCGAACTCCTGCTCTAAGATTTTCTTCTCTGACCCAAATTCCACACCTTCTAATCTCAGTTGCCCAACCAGAGTAAGAAGAACAGAGTTCTCAACCAACAGCTGCTGCTTCTCGTCCTCGTAATTCGAGAGAGAACATTTCATATCCTCAATATTCTCTATAACATGATGCACAAATATTTTCTCATTTGCAATCTCATCGTCCAGTTCATTATCTAGACCAATTTCAAGAGCCTTGAACACTTGATATATACCCATCCTTAGCTTTTCAATTTCATCTAACAAGAGTTCTGCTTCCACCTGCTGCTCAAGATTTTCACTCTCCAACTCCGAAACCAGTTTCTCCGTCAATTTGGACGCCTCGACATGTTTCTGACACTCCATCAATAGAGTGTAATTCTTTTGTTCCATGTCTTGTATAAACTTCTGTAAGACAAAGATCTCAAACTGGGCATTCATAGCTTTATCAAGTTCTTCTTCGAATTCTTTCTTCCTCCACCTAGTTTCTTCTTGCAAGAGTTGGATATGGTTTTCCAGACAAGCCAATCGTGCCCCACTTGACAATGCAAAACTTGCCCTCTCTTGTTTTTCTACACCTAGAGACACCTTTAGTTCTTCCACTTGAGATAGCGTGGATTCTTTCTCCTTTTCCATGCCAGTGTATTTTTGTTCCAATACTGCAAATCTCATTTCCAGGTTTTCTAGTCTCCGCTCAACATTGTCCAACTGAGCAACCAAAGTACCTCTTTCAGCAATAAGATTAGACTGGTCATTATTCAGCGACTTGCAGAGTTCTTCTAAGCTCTTTGATTTTTCCCTCAGACCTTCAAGTTCAACATTTGCACCAAAGAGGGAATTCTCAAGAACGGTGCTTTTCTCCAGGATCTTCTGCATATTCTCAGTAATAATTTGTAACTGAGACAGAAGGGCTGCTTTCTCAGAAACAAGGGCAGATTTTTCACCATGGAGAGATTGGCAAGACTCTTGCAATGCCTCGACATTTGCTTGTGACCCTTTCAACTCACTGCTCAAATCTGACAGCGAACTCTCCAAAATGACATTCTTATCTAAAAGTTGTTCCATGTTCTCCAATTTCTTGAAAAGAGCTTCTTTATCATCTCTGTCCTCCTTGCAAATCTGTCTCAGCTTTGTGTTCTCATCCTGCAAATCTTTCACGGATGACGCAATACATTCTGGGTTCAAACCTACCAACTCCACTTGCTCCATTAAAGCCTGATATCCCTTATTCAAGTCCTTGATTTCCTCTTTCAGACGAGAAATCTCTTCCTGGAGGGAATTAGTTTGACCCATTTGTAGTCCAACCTCCTCCTCGAGTCTTTCCTTCATCTCCCTCAATTTCAGGATTTCACTTTGCAGATTCTCCACTGAAATGGCGAATGATGAATTCAGCTCATTCACGTTCCTATTCTCATCCTTAACTTGCCGAATTTCTTCCTCCAAATCATGTTTGCTTATTTCCAAGTCCTTCAACATTTGAAGCCCATTCTTAAGCTCCAATGCTAAAGCGTTCTGGTCCTGTTGAGATTGAGAGTGCAAATTCTGCAAAGTTTGGAGAGTGGCTTCAACTTGCACGAAATGCAATTGCTCATCTTGTACACAAGCCTGAAGCTTTTCCAACTCCTCATGCTTCTCAGAAAGTTGTTGATCTTTCATTGCTATCTTCTTCACTAGGTTTTCCGCCTCTAACCGCAGGGATTGATTTGACGTCTCCAACAGAACACACTGTTCTTCAGCACTCTTGAGTTTTGCAGTCTCGATCAGAACCACACTGTTAAGGCATCTGATTTCCTCTTGAGCACAAGAGAGTTCACTTTCCAGCTTAGATATTTTCTCCAAGCAATGCTCATACCGACGAGCAGCAGCTTCTTGCTCCTCGTTTATTTCGGCAAGAGATTTTTTCAGTTCCCTCACTTCAGTTTCAGCTCTATCGGCTCTCTCATTAAGCACTATTGCTTCCTCCTCAGCAACTGAGGATTTTTTCTCCAAATCAGATATTTTCTCAAGACACTGCTTGTATTGGAGAAGACCAGCATTTTTTTCAGTCTCTAATCTAGAAAGTTCTTTTTCGAGGAACTGAGCTTCGATTTCAGCTCTAATAGCTCGCTCGTTGAGTCCTTGTGCATCCTTTTGGGCTTGTGAGATCGTAGACTCCAAATTAGATATCCTTTCCAAAAACTCCTTGTGTTGAAGAAAACTCGTATCCCTTTCGGCCTCTAATTTAACAAGGACTTCCTTCAGTGTTTGAACTTCAGCTGCAGCTTTGCCTGCTTGTTCATTGAGTCCCCGGGAATTCATTTGTGCACGATTGAGTTCTCCCTCCAGATTTGACAATTTCTCCGTACTCTGCTGGTATTGAAGCAGGACAGCCTCCTTTTCGGCGTGCAAATCAACAAGGGCTTTCTTTAAGTTTTCAATTTCAGTTTCCGCTCTACTTGCACGTTCAACCTCAGAATGGACCTTATTCTTGAGGTTCTGATTCTCATCCGATAACTGCAAGACTTCATCATCCAGTTTTTTTTCTCTGCCATCCCTTGAATTTTCGAGTGCTACTTCTCTGGCCCCAAACATCTCGTGTAGCTGTTTCAAACCCTTTGCATCCTTGTGCAAATCATCTAGGTCGAGCAATGCACGAATTGGATGTGGCAGTTCAGGCGTGTGAGGTTCACGTTCATGTGCTGAAGATCCCGAAGGTGAATCATCAGACAGTACAAACGGGACTTGGTTAGGAAATGCTTCTGCCATGGTTCGATGGGCGTGGCGGAGCTCCCCCGTTGCGTGATCATACCTTTCTGCCAAGGCACGGTATGCTCGGTAGAACTCCTCAACCAGTTTCATGAGCTCGGGCCGTTTTTTGTAGTACATTTCTGCCCTTCTGGCAAAGGAATCTGCATCTTCTTCAATGAGCTTGATCATTGCTTTGACTTTGGCATCCATATCTGTTCAGAAAACCACATGTGGAAGAGTTAATATTGTGGCCTAAAAAAAATGCTTTAAAACAGGCCATCAAATATTTGGGACACTTAAAATACGATTTCAAACAGGCTGAAATGCATTTATTATTATTAAAACAAGGGAAGCATTGGGACCAATTATGACTGGAACTTTTATGACTGTTAAAAACTAAAGACAGATGGATCAAATGACCATTAGATCAATTTTCTTAGCACACACTGAGGTGATCTACGTACTCTATCATTAATGAATGCAAAGCGTCATATGAAAAAACATACAAACTAGTAGAAAATGATATGAAATACAAGAAGCAACTTGCTAGACTTCTTGGAAGAAGAGTGTCATTCATGCTGATTTCAACTCTGTAACAAGGTAGTAATAATAGTATATAAAGCAAGAAAAGAATAACATTCGAGGACATCTTAATGCTTAACCCATAAACCAAACAACCTCTAATTGTCATGGACCAAGACCAGAATAATTTATCAAAAGAAAATCAAGAATTCCATATAGGCTGCAGAACCTTAGGTGGGAACCTATAGCATGGAAGCCATACCAGAAAACTTGAAAAACAAAAAAAGCAGCGAATAAGACTTCAACTTAAGGGTGGGCAACGGTTTATCCGAACCGCTCAACCCGCCCAACCCGCATATAAATGGGCGGTTTCGCAAACATAATGCGGGCGGATGCAGTTTGAAATATGACAAATTTGCGGGTTACGGGCGGGTCGCGATTTAAACCTGCAAAAACCGCCCGCACTTTAATTATTATTATTATTATTTTTTTATACACCAACTTTGTAACTTTTACAGGAACACCATTATATTCTCTATGACACTAGAATCCTTATTTTTAAGTATTTCTCAACTTTCTTAATGCCGTAGAATTATCAAGTCCTAACCTTAGTTTCTTATATGATTTTCATTGGTGATTCATCGTTTGAAATATGACAAATTTGCGGGTTACGGGCAGGTCGCGATTTAAACCCGCAAAAACCGCCCGCACTTTAATTATTATTATTATTTTTTTTTTTTATACACCAACTTTGTAACTTTTACAGGAACACCATTATATTCTCTATGACACTAGAATCCTTATTTTTAATTATTTCTCAACTTTCTTAATGCCGTAGAATTATTAAGTCCTAAACTTGGTTTCTTATATGATTTTCATTGATAATTCATCCACTTTTTTCTAATAAAATTTTCCTTCTGGTAGTCGATGGAACTTCTAGTTTGATTATTGATTATTGAACTGACAATTCTAATTAAGTACAACCTTTAATGCATTGATATACATTTTTTTTATGGCAAAAATGCTAGTGTAGGGTCTCTTTGTTTTGGGTACTTTCATTTAATGCATTGATATTCAATTTTTATTTGTAAACTCATCAGAAAATTGTTATCACAAATATATAAAATGAATCAGATGCCTAAATTTGATGGGAAAAAAAACTCAAAAATTAACTTTTAAAGAAAAAAGTGTAAACTGCAAACCGCCCGCACATTTGCAAACCGTATCCGCACAAACCGCAAACCGCACTGCGGGCGGTTGCGGGTTGACTTTTTCCCAAATCGCATAGATGCGGGCGGGTCAAAACCGAACCGCAAACCGCACAAAACCGATCCGCGAACACCCCTACTTCAACTTGACACTAGCATTGTCAGCTCTTTCTCAGCTTGAAAATGAGATGCATTCCAATCTGGGAATAAATGGAAACTAAGGATTGAGGAAGGAAGCACTATCAAGAATCATATTTGCATGGAAAAAAGGTTAAAATTTGAAACCACAACAGTTATGCCAATGCCTTGGGATAAACTGTATTCTGAGTTACTCCGCAAAAACATGATTCTAAAACTCAATTCTTGGTTTGAACCACATAATCGTGGTTCTAGAAGGGAAACGTCACCTGCAAGTATGCAACTTAGGTATTACCTTCTAGGTTAAGGAACCCTAACAAAGTTCACTCACACTTAAGATCACGAGATTCAATCACAAACCTACATCTTATATTACTTGTATGCTAATTGAGTTTAATCAACTCTACTCAAAGTTGAGTAGTTGGCACAATGATATCCTTACTTGCTAGAGCTATTTTGTTTCAATAACTATAACCCCACGAATCAATTTTTTTCTTGGGAAAATTATCAGTAAGTCCTATTTTGCTCTCAAGATTACTATTGAGTCCTATCAAAATTTTATTGTGGACAACTAAGTCATTATTTTTATAAAATGTTTCCCAAAAGTTCAATTCTCCATAATGGTGAATTTTATCCAAATTTCACCCTTCTCATTTAATGTGAACAACAATTTTATAAACAATTTTAGTTTACTTAAAATTATATATTTTAATTGTACAAATTATCAATATTATATTAACCAAAAATCATAAACAACATTTGGATTGAAAAAACTATAGCATAAAATTTCATCATTTTCTAAAATCCTTCGAGAGTTTTAACTTCAACATATGTTTCTGAACTAACTCCCTCTCCATTGCAACATGAAGTTCAACCCAAAGCCAACGTCAAAAAGTGTTAAGCCGTTATTTATGTACTAAATTATTATTTAACACAACAAAAATGGTTCCCTATCTAGTGGAAGCAATGAAAATCCAAATAATAACCATCAAGAAATTCCAAACTCGGGCTTTCTTTTTCTGTTTTTTTTTTTTTTTTTTTTGGCAAGTCCCATCCCTTGTTTTTTTGCTCACAAGCGTGTCCAGGGCTTCGCACCAACTATTCCCCCAAGTACATGTAGTCCTCTCGTCCCACATATATCAGTAATTACTGGACCAAAGCCCTAGGAGTAAGTTCCCTTACTTGATAATATGGAGTTCTGCCTCTGCTTTCTACTACCTTATAATCTCATGATTCTTTAAAATAATAAACAACATAAAGAAAAGAAAAGGACAAACACAGAAATATTAATTGCAAGCACAAGACATCAATCCTTAAAAACCAGAAACCAATGAAAATTAAGTGATAAAACAAACACCTTTAAGATTTTCCTGAAGCCATTTTGAATTCTTTGGGCTATTGTGACTGTCCCACCACCAAGAATACAAGCGCCTGGACTCAGAATGCAGCATTGTCGCCATGACTCCAGCAATGAACAAAAATAGAACTGGTTTTGACCTTGCAAGTTCCCGGTCCTTGTACCAGTAACAAAAATCCAGGTAATGGACCCAGGCCAGTATCAAAACTCGGTATTTTCTACCACAACCGAATTTAGAGCAGCTTTGGAGCTCAGTATTGCCTACCCACAAAGATCATCAAGAAAATATGAAGGTAAAGAAATATTACAAACATTGTCTTCATTAACCATATACAATCTATATCAATTAAATTGGAACTGTGATGAACAGACACAAAAATTCGTACATGATTTTACTCATTTGAGCCCAAATCAACAGTTATGTAGCAAATGCAGCTCCAACTTCAATGGCCTCCAAATCAGAGAAACACTGATTCAAAAGAGGAGGAAAATGTGAATCGGATCTTAATCACCTAACCAATCTTAATCTATAAGCATAGAGGATGGAGAAATATCAACATTTTGTGGTATTTTATAAATTTACAAAGAATAAAATAAGGTTAAAAAAAAATGAGCAACAATATCACAAATATTTGGAGTGCATACCTTGATCTCCTCAATCCCATAACAATACAGCATGAAAACTACCTAATCAACAATACCCACAACAACGATCAATACAAATGTTGAAAGGATTCAATAGGAAGACACCCAGTAAAATAAAATAAAACAAAAACCAAATCCAAACTACTTTCTAGTCCAACTCACATCAAATCAAGAAAACAAAATCTCAAATTTTTCTAATAATGGATGTCAACAAAGACTGAGAAAGATCAGGAACTTACCAGAAATAATGAAATCTGAACATGGGTTCTCATCATCATCATCATCAACTGTGATTGCAAACCCCCCATCCGCCATTCTTCACCCCATTTTCTCTCTCTAACCCAAACACTCTCTCCTCTCTCTCTCTCTCTGTATCTCAATGGGTTCCTAGCATTTTATTCGCCAAGTTGGTACTTAGTCAGTGTGACAAACTGTAAAAAGACACAAAGTGACCACAGAAAGTGAAAGAGTTCTGTTTCTAACTTTATCTTTGTAAATAATTTTAAAAATAAAAAAAAAAAATCAATATATACTATACGTATATATTATACAGTTACGTATATTTATTTATAGTAAAAAAATATTTAATTGCAGTTATGATTTGATTAAATGGGATTATGAAAACGAAGATGTTCTTAATCTTGCTGTCTTTGGCCGTTATTATTTTTTATTTATTTATTTATTTATTAATGCATGTGTTTTTGAGATCATATGCTTAAAATCTCAAAAATGTTGAATCTTGTGTTTCCAATAAAATAAAAAATAAAATAATTTTTTGGGTTTCCAATAATTGAATTGTAGTTTATTAGAACCTTCTTTTATTTATTTATTTGTTTGCCCTTGTCCACTTTTTTTATTTTTTTATTTTCTTGATCCTTTTGGGCAATTGATTTAGTCATGGGGGCTTTGTGGTCCAATGGTAAGATCTGCCTACTCATTGTGAAGGCATGGCCCTTTGATATCAAATATAAAAACAATTTTTTTTATTTAAAAAAAAAAAAAAAGATTGTGTCCCTCCAACCAATCAAAGAAAAAAAAAAAAACAAGTGTGGCACTCTACCAATTGCTTTATTTTGTTTGGGATAATCTAAATAAATATACTTTTTATTTTTTTACGAAAAGATGTGCAAAAAAATAGAGAGGTGATGTGATGAAAAAAACATAAAAAGATGGATTATTTGAGGAATGTCTTTATATTTACCACTCATTTAGGCTATATTTAGATTTTAGTTTAATGAAGAAATTTATGGGGGTAAAAAAAGAGAAAGAGACAGAAGGAAACAAGAAAAAAATATTTTTTTCCCTTTTTTTTTTTTTTTTTTAACAAATTCAAAAAATGAACACAAGATTAAATTAGGAGAATAAACTTATATACAAATGAAGAGAATCGAACTCATAATCTTCTAATGAAATGCAAGAGTTTTAGTCAATGGGCAAATCATGTGAATTGCTCAACAAATATGTCTAATTCTTTGACTTAAAATAAATATAGGGTTTAAATTAGACGGGAACAAACGATATTGGAGTTTAACCCAAATCTTTATGGAATAGTACATTTTGTTTTTTTTATCTTTAAGGAAGATGTAATTTTTTTTTAAATTAAAACAAAATCAAAATAAGGAAGATGTATTATAGTTACATTGCTTTCAAAATAAAATAACATACGAGTAATTGAATAAAAGTCATTGAGAGTATTTGAAAATGAGATTAAGGAATGATGTTGTCTGAAATTGATATTCAGTAAATTTTGGAGACAAAATAAAGATGAGTTGCAAAAAGTTACCAAAAAGTAACTTGAAAGTTAGGTGAAATAAATAAAATTAGTTGTAAAAAGTTTAGAAAAGACAAAAATAAGTATATATATTTAAATTTGATTTATTTTCATTTTTAGTGAGTTTTATTAATTGACTGAATTTTAAAAATATATATATATATATATAAAATCGTCTAGTCAAGACCGACTTTAAAAAAAATCAAAAATGGAAAAGTTAAAAAAAATTTAAAATAAAAATAATTTAAAAAGTGGATGTGAAAGAAAAATGCTCTACGTAGAGAAAGTAATTGGCCATGCATTCATTTCTTGCCTACTATTGAAAATTACAGCTGTTGTGGGCAGTATGACCACAATGCATTAAAATTTTGAATAAGGATTGACTAAGGGAAACAAAACAAAAGAAAATATGAATAAAATATATATTTTTTAATTTTCTCACTTTTTTATTATAAAATTTTATTTAAATTTTAGATGTAAATACAGTTTAAAAATGACTTTGGAGGTTTTCCTACTGCTAAACTTGATTTTTTATTATAAACAAATCAAATTTGTTGTGAATTTGAATACTTGACCGGATCTAAATATCTTTTATTGTTTTTAATAAGGATGGTGTCTTCCCACACACACACTTTAGCCTCCGTTTGAGAAGTGGGTTAGCTTTTTGGCTTTTTGGTTTTTTTGGCTATTTTAGCCTGGGCTAAAAAGTTTGGTTTGGGAAGGGCTTTTTGGCTTTTTGGCTTTTTTGATTTTTTTTGTGAGAGAAGAGTGTAATGATTATGGGTTGGATGTGATGTTTTGTTTGTTGTGGCTAAAATAGCCTGTTTTGTCTTTTGTGACTATTTTAGCCCCAACCCAACTTGCCAAACACCACCTTAGTAATCTAGAGGCATGGACAATTAATTATGCCAAACCATTGAAGTCCACATAAAAAATAAAAATGAAAAATTGGTTCAATTGGATGTACATGTGATAAAAGGCCTTAAACAATTGGTTGTTGATGGGCATATTAATAGAGATTGAAGATTTTGGAATTTGATAGTTGAATTTTAAAAAGAATAATGTTATACGGATCGATCGATACATTAATTAGTATATTAATAAATAATGTGACATAATTTTTTAGTTTTGAGTTTTTGTAGTTTGTATAATGGGTGAAATTCATAATTTTGAAATTATAATGTTATGATATGTGTCGATACACTAATTGATATAATAACTGGTGTGTGTTGTATCCGATAATACTATATGCACCAATTAGTGTATTAACTAGTGTACCAACGTATATTATGGCATTATTACCAACCTCACCCATTATACAAATTACAAATACTCAAAACTTCTAAAATTATGTCACATTATCTGTTAGTAAACTAATTAGTATATTAATTGATACATATAATATTATTCTATAAGAAAAGAAATCCATGCATGTATTAATAATCTAATCAAACTTATCTGCAGTCCAAGTTTTAAATTAAAAGTTTGAATTTTTTTTTCGTGTGGGCCCATTTTAGTCCATTTTGGTTATCCAATCTATCTAATTTGTAGGGTTGATTAAGTTGATCAGTTATAAAAAAATTAAGTTGATGGAATATCGATAATTACTTGATTAAGTTATACTTATATAAAAAACAAATAATATATTTTTAAAATTATACAAATGATATATTTTTAAAATTATATTTACCGATATTTAACCAATTTAATACTTTTCATAAACAGTCCCGCTAGATAACTCGAATTCACTGTGACTCTAATGGCTCGAGGTGCCAAATCCTTTTCTTTTTTTTTCTTCTTCTGTTCTTCTTCCTCCCCCTCTCATCTTCCTCTTCTTCCTTTCCCCTCTACTGTGCTCTGCTCTTAGAAAAAATCAAAATCAAAATCAAAATGAAAAAAACAAAACCAAATCTATACAGATCTATACAATCAAAAAATCAAAATCAAAATCAAAACCAAAACCAAATCCAAAAACAAACCCACAGCAACACAGGAGCAAATGAAGAAAAAAGAAGAGAGAATGATAGAGGAAGAAGGAGAAAAGAGAAGAACAGAGGAAGGAAGAAAAAGAGAAAGAAAGAAGAAGAAAGAAGGAACAGAAATTGGCAGCCATCACCGTTGCAAACTCTCTCTCACCGTCGTCTATCGCCATCATCGTTGCTATGTGTATATACACAGATCTATGTATACATACACACATAGATTTGTGTGTATACACAACCCATTGTCTCTCTTCCTCCCTCTTCTCTCTTTTTTCTCTCTTCTTCTCTCTTCTCTCTTCCCTCTTCTCCCTGTTCAGAGAGAAAAGAGAGGGGGGAAATCAAAATGACGTCGTTTTGAAATTCCGGCTAATTGAGCCTCAAAAATCTTGAACTACCAAACCTTATTTTTTTCATAAACAATACTCTTGATTTGATTTGGAATTTAAATAGTTCATATCACCAGAAGTCCAAGCCTTGGACAGTAAAAAGCCACTTTCTGGATAATTACAACAAATTGCACTAGTCATCTTTGATGTTTTGAAAAGATACAATAAGCCTACAAATTTTGAGATTTGTAGGCATCATGCCTAAAATTTGACGCGTACAAATTTTCTTCAAACCTCATGCCTCTCATAAAAATAAAAATAAAAATAATTTTTTTTTTAAAAAAAAAGTCGCATATACAAGAAAATAGTAGAATTGATGTCAACTAGGAAATTTTTTAAGTCTGTTTTATATGCATACGAATTGGAAATCAAACTTAATAGTCAATTACAAATACAATTGGAAAAAAAATGAGTTAGAAAATTAGAATTTCAATGGGAAAAATTGCATCTCAAACTGAATTATTTTTTTCATAGATCATTTACCCAAAAAGTTATTAATTAACAAATTGTTGTACAAATTTCATCAAACATGCACAGTGATATAAAAGGTAAAAATGATTGTGGGAAGCTCACAAATTAAAAAGAAAAAGAATGATGGCCAATAAAGATGATTAATTAAAGCATAATAATTACAAGAATCTATCAATATTGTTTTTCTTTTTTTAATTACTTCAGATGTGATGATGATTATATGATTAATGATAATTGAGGCAGCATTTAATAGCAGCAGCTTGGTAGGTTGGTGTGCCCTCTAAATCCTCATAAAGAGGTATGCTATATAAATGGCAAATATCAAAAAATTGTTGGAAATTTGAACCAACAATGATTGAAAATTTTAATTTTGGACTTTTAAATAGAGCTCTAGTAATGTGGTAAGAGAAGAAAAAAAAATAAAAATATAAGCACACACATCACATCATATGTGGCCCTCACTCCTTGTCACATTATTAGAATTCTTTTTAAAATTTCAAAATTAGAGCTCTCAATTTTTATTCAATTTGAATATATGATGTAAATTTAAACTTAATACGGTGAGAGCCACACGCCTGATAAATATGATCTACACAAGTCAAATTTTAACATTTTTTAAAATATGTTTTTAATACGTAGCATGGGTATATCTAATTTTGGCCATGATATTGTTAGTACGAAAATCAGGACCATATCTACACATCACATGAGGGGTTGATGTTAAGAGGTTTGGTCCTTATCATTTCACAATATGAATTTGGGTTCTACCAAGCACATCACATGGGTGATT